ATATAGATCTGTCAGTTTCAGTTAATGGTCCCCCACCATCCTGACACCTGTTTGCAGCAGATTTTAGAAATTAGCAAGATGGACGGGGGACATCTGGCAAAAGTTTACTATTTAAAAAAACTGACTCTACAAGATGTGCTGTACCTCATATGTACTCATGCGGACATCTAAATGTACACACAAGCAGATTTTAAAAATTATTTCTCCTCATCCTACTTCAAATTCAAGCTGTTTAATTTCATAAAGATCAGAAGAAAGGAATGGTTGCAGAGCGTTCTTGTAACTGCTTTCCATTTGTGCTTCCATTTAGCCACCAGTGTGTTTGTGGCTCAATTTATTTACAGCCCAGATCCGCTGTTTCAGGGTTTTTTAATGTGCACATGTGCTGGAGCAGTCCACACCATCACGTGTTTTTCTTCACTGCAGAGATAAATAGTCATGTGAATACACATATTTTGGGCCAATATCAGGTTTTAAGTGCACCCTTTTAACATGTGTTTTTCAGCTGTTAATCCGAATTAGTGCACATTTTCATGAAACATTATTTAGCCACCACACTTTTATTCCAGTTTCTTCCACATTTTAGGATATGTGTAGAAGGGTCCTCCCTGAGCATCATGTTAGGCTACCATTTTTTTGAAAGGGAAGTGCCAGTTTAGAGGGTTCTGTTTCTCCTCCACTTTCTCAAGAGACAAAGAGGAAGGAAGTGTGCTGGCAGCTGCGCTATGGCTAGATCTACACTGCCATATAATCCAGTTTCAGAATGCAGATTAACTGATTTGAACTGGATTATATGAGACTACACCATCATATATTCCAGTTCAATGCAATTAATCTGCATTCAGAAACTGGATTTCATGACAGTGTTGATGAGGCCTCAGTTAGCTTTGATAAGCATCTGTTGAACCCAGCCTGAGGAGTTACTGCCTTTAAACTCGAGATAATGGCATTTTGTTCTTTCTGAGGCATTTTATATGTGGCTGAAGGATCAAAAATAGCTTTGGAAATCAAATGACCTTAAGGGGCATGGCCTACAAATGTCATGTGGCCAGCAGGGGTACGAGGAAACTTCCCCTTCCACCCCAAAATCATAAACATACAAGAGTGTTATTTGCAGAATGGTGATCAGAATATGCAGGGAGGAGATTCAGACCATGCATATCTGGCTGCTATGAGCTGACGGGAACTCTCATCATTTTAAATTAATTATCATGAATGAATGTGCCATTGAGACCAACAGCTCTTCCATGGACTGAATTGTTCTCACCTTTCTCTTGCTCCCATCTGGAAACCTCTCCTGATGCTTAATTCCTGCTGTGAGGTGGGAGTAAGTGGAACCACACACAAATCTAGGATCTTGGCCATTGTCTCCATGTTTGAGGGGGCATATAAATACTGAGTTATTTAAAACTTGCTGAAGATCTTTAATAATGAATTGGACTATGAATGTGTGGCTCTACACAACATTAAATTAGGAAACCTGGTCAAATGTTACACATGCTATATATGAAAATACGCATGCCACGACTGCATAGTATGACTCAACCTAGAAGCATCTTATGAGAAATAACTGGTTATCTGTAATTAATCTACTTGTCAAATTACTGAGATTTAAATATTTGGAACTTGATGATTAAATGCTAAAAGAGAAATACAGGCATGTTATAGGTGTTGAGGCAATGAGAATGTGAACAGGAAGGGTTTTTTTTGTTGCTGAAGTTAGTGCATTATACGTAGCATTGACAAAAAAAACAACCCAAACCTGAAATGTATTTACTTACTTTTCGAAAACAGATGGGTCAAATATGTTTTAAAAATATAGCTATGACAATTAGTACTCATTTCTGGGACTTAGAACTGTAATTAATTACTTTTGAATAGTAACTGTATGCTTTGATATAAGTTTCATTTATTTGGAAGGGGAAAGTAGAAGAAGCATGCCAATATTTTCAGTTTATTAAATACAGAATTTAAATTTATCCCCCCCCCCCCCCCGCATTGATCAACAATTTACAAACCACTATCTTACTCTCAGTATAGGCCTGAAAAAACAGAATGTGGATACTACCACATTTATCACCATCACATAACAGACGCCAACAAGTATTTTTCATCAGATATAATTTTAAGTCATTCTTATAGAGGTTTTTTAATGCTAAATTCAAATCTGTTTATTTTTTTCTCAATCATGTGAAATTTTTGCGATGAGGCTAATCAAATAATTAATGCATTTATGCATTTATATCCATAGAATCAATGCACAAATGTATTAAGTATTCAATTAGCCTCATCACAAAAGCTACACGTGATAGAGAAAAAAATAAACACAGATGTAAATTCAGCATAAAAATCTATATAAGTATGACCTAAAATTATATCTAATGAAAAATACTTGTTGGCTTGTGTTATGCGAATATGATGTGAAATGTGCAGACTTTACAGCAGTCGTCTGTAATGTACCATTCGTTAAATATTTAAAAAGTTGATGTAATGGGGAAAAATTAAGACATATTCAAAATCAGCATAAAAATTGATTTAAACTGCGCTACTCTCATTTCTGATGCTTACAAAAAGTTTGATTTTGTTGGCTTGTGTAATTTATGGGATCAGAAATTGTTCTTACCAAATCTCCAATTCAAAGTTTTCTTTGGGGGAGGGGCAGCGTCTGAAAAAAGCCCAGCTTCAATTTGCCTCGGGTTGAAAAACGTTCCTTAAGCCAATAATAACTACCTGCTCCAAAATTACTGTCTCTCAGATTGAATGCCTAGTATATATACAAAGCTCAAAACATCTGACAAAAATGCACTTCAAATGAGGGTGGTCATTCAAAAGCTTCTTGGATTTCCACCTTCTATCTCAGCTTCTATGGAAGACGGTAAAGTGGGTTTCTTGTAAAGATATTTTGGCATAATTCTGAATGACAAATGACATACTCCCAGGTGCCAAGATAGACGGGGTGGGGATACAGTCACCCTCAACTTTAGCTCCAACTGGAGCGGCTTTGTTCTCAGTGCCCTGAATAATTAATAACTCCTTTGGCAATCAGTCATGCATTCCTTAATGGCACCTCAGGCATCAAGTGTCCCATTCACCCACTCCCCCCAAGTAACAATAGACTTTACTACACTAGGTGTTCTATGCCAAGCTTGTAACTGACATAATTTAAACTAAACAAGTCAGGAGAAAGAATATTACCCAGACTCAAACTGGAATCTTTTATCAGGTTTGTTTACATAGCATACAGTTGCTATGTAAATTATATCAGTATCAGGGAGATTTGGGAAAGACTTTCTTAATGTAATTTTTTGGCAAGTTGCTTCCCATCTTGCATACCTAAGGATCTTACATGCAAAAGTACTGGTGTATAGTTCAAGATGTAAAATGACTTTCTAAATGAAATTTTTAGGTATATCAATATACTGCCCAGCATATAAAGTAATGCTTTCCAATATTCCAAATGTCATTTCCAGAACTACAAAAATGCTGAAATGCAATGAAACCCGGGGAAATATAAATAGAAAACCAGTTATTTCAGTTTTTTATTTTTTCGCAATATTACTGCACGCAAATACATTAGTTTTAGGTGGTATATGGTGTTTCCACATTGGTAAAATATATATTTGACTTCAAATTGACACTGTAGTGAACCGCTTTGCTTGGTTTTCTTTTTGTCTGAGCTGTGTCTACTCTGAGTTACCTCCAATGCTTAATCAACATAAAAGTTGTTTCTTTAAAATAACTTGGTAAATTTAAATAAATTACTTCAGAACTAAACAAAAAGAGCTTCTAAAAGAGGCCTAAAATGTTCCCTTCACTCTGTGTGGCCTTCAATAACAAACACAAGCTTGCACTGTTCTATTTCATTTTTACTTCATTTTTCTTCAAACAATTTCTCTCTACTAATCCACTCAGTCTTTCATCTTGGAGAACATGAGGTTTGTTTCATTACTCATGGCCATTACTGATTCAGATATGTTCCAGTATTTTTTAAATAATAATCAACAGCTTTACCTCCATAGTAGCAGTTCTCAAATTCTTTCCACTTTAAGTCCTTCTTTTAATTTCTTTGTAACTTCTGCTTGTCTCCACAGATAAATACGCAAAAAATTCAGTGTAATAGGAATTATACATTAACAATTTTACCTGTCTACAAATAATGATCATGAATGTGCCTCTGAACAAGTATAAAGGTACATACAATTAAGGATTGAGAAGGGAGGAAGCATTCTAGAGAAGAAAGCATGGCTACTTTGACATCCATCTTAGATGAAAGAATTCCCTACAATTTTTAGAAACGCTGTTCCGTTATTCATTCTAAATTAACATTCATTCTAAACGTGGTCTCTACTGACCATATTTCTTGAATGATGCAAGATTTCTTTTCTTTCTAAAATTGGGTGATATTTGTGTTATACAGGGAGCCCCTGGTGGCACAGTGGGTTAAACCGCTGAGCTGCTGAACCTGCTGACTGAAAAGTCAGCGGTTCAAATCCGGGGAGTGGGGTGAGATTCTGCTGTTAGCCCCAGCTTCTGTCAACCTAGCAGTTGGAAAACATGCAAATGTGAATAGATCAATAGGTACCGCTTCTGCGGGAAGGTAATGGTGCACCATGCAGTCATGCCAGCCACATGACCTTGGAGGTGTCTACAGACAATGCCGGCTCTTCGGCTCAGAAATGGAAATGAGTACTACCCCCAGAGTATGACACAACTAGATTTAATGTCAAGGGGAAATCTTTACCTTGTGTCATACATTCCTGTTACCTCCAGTATTACAGAACAAGACTTGTTCTGAAACTTTTTGACTTTATTACACACAAGCAAGCATACCTCATGTTAAGCCCAATACTCCAGTGATATGATAAGAAGATTGCTTGGTAGTTTTAACATTAAAATATTATATGATGTACAATATTTCTAAGTATTTGTTACATTAATATACATCCTGCTATCATTATACCTTTGAAAGTCGATGAGGAATTAAAACTGATAGTACTTACTGATGTAAGAAGTGTATAATGGATACAGAATCCAGGCTCAGAAGGAAGATATTCATCAGAAACAAATCTGATTCTGATCTGGTTCCCTTTGGAAATCTGTTTGCCTGGAACAGCAGAAGAACCACACCACCGTCCTAAAATACTGCCATCACTGGGCTCTTCAACTTCTACAAAGTCATATCTACAATAAAAGAAAAAATAGTTATCTAGTAAATATGAGTAGAGAAACAAATTATTCAACAAGGAATGAGTTCATTCTAAACTAAGGGCCCTTCTACACATGCTGTAAAAGACAGAAGTAACCAGGTTAAAAGGGGTGGGGATGAGTAAATAACATTTAGCCAAAGTGTGAGAGGAATCATAAGGAACCGAGTTAATAACTGAAAAGCACATGTTAAAAATGTGTGCTTAAAATATATGCAAACATCTAGATGTGTACTTATACTTGCAACAAATAATTTTAGTTCAGTAACTTCTGAAAGCTATATGAAATTAGAGATAATTGAAATGTGTATTTATCATAAGCTTAAAAAACAAATATATTTTAATTATTATTTATTATTTATTTGCCCTTCTCACCCCGGAGGGGACTCAGGGTGGAGCACAACTTATACACTGCAAGCATTCCATTCCGGAACATAAGGTAACAAAAAATATGCATAACACTAAAATCAGAATATATCTACTTTAAAATCAATTGTTTAAAACCATCTCAAACACTATGCTGGCTCTGGTCTGCGAAGTGCGTTTTGTCTTGAATTATCTTCATAGACAAAGCACACAATGACCTGAATTCTAACTTTCATGAATGTGAATCAGTTCACATTCATGATACACAGTTTCCCCCTCTCTCTTCAGAGTGTAGTTCCCTGTACCCTTACAAAATCTCCACAAAATCTCAAGTACGCTTAAGAATTATTTGAAGCATGATTTGTTTGTGCAAAATCTGCAAATGAAAGGATACATTATAGATATCACACCTTTACATAGAAGAACAGAGGCCTGATTTAGGATCAAAACTTGAGAGTTTCAATTTTCAGTAAAAATTAAACAAAAATGAACATACGGATTTGAAATTAATGCTTTACTAAAACATTGTCTACAGGAATGTATGCAATGACTAAATATTATATGAGTTTGAGCAAGTCTAGGATATAAAACACAAATAAGTAAAAAGAAAATACATTGTCAGGCCAATTATAAACAATAAGCCAAACTGGCCTATGGATGATGCCTCTTCAGCTTTCTTGTATTAAATTTCTTCGCACATTTTTTCATAACATGTTGGCAAATGAAACATTACTAGCATCAATCTTTTTTAAAAAAAATCTGACTACTAATTTTTTCATTCATTATACGTCTTCTTTTCAAAGGAGCATGTCAAGATCAAACAGATGCGTGATCTATACAATTTCAAGGAAACAGAAAGGTGATATGACATAACACCTGACATATGAAGTGAAATGAACTATCACCGACAACCAGAACAGCAGTTGTCCCCAGGTGATCATTTCAGAAACTTTTTAATCCCTGTAATACAGCTACAAGTATTATATTTCACTGTCCAACTCAGTATTTAAAGGATTTACTAAACTTGTTTTATTGGCCAATCAAATGGAGGTTTCTCACAGCAACATGATACAGTACACATACAACTAAGTGGCTTATAATGACTACTTCTCTTCTCAGACATCCTTTGGGACATACAGAAGATTTATTTCCTTTCATGTTCTTTACAAACAAGTCTGTTTTTTTGTAGACACAATGCCTGCTCTGGTTTTGACTTAAAGCCTAAGTGGAGATTACATCTATTCTGTCAAAGGTGCCTTCCTAAATGCATCCAATACATCAAGTGAAAACAATGAAGGCATGTAGAATGGAGGCATAAATAGCTGCTTTCCCATTCTTTTATTTTCTTACCCTGATAAATCCATTATTATCATTTCCTCACCACTAGCGTAGATGTTGGCAACTTGTGACTGTCGGATGTTAATGAACCAAATCCCATTACCCTACCCAGAATGGAGAACTGAAGTCCACTAACTTGTAGAAGTCCACAAGTCATCCAGTCTACTGATAAAATACATTGTTGAATTATTCTGTTTTAATGATCTAAGTGCACAACTTAAAGTGGATTTCAGGTGTCTTATAACTGTGAAACATGATGAAACCATGGCGTAGAATATTTTGCTACTAGTAAATGGTTCACAACAATAGGTGTATTCCAATCTGCCCATGCCTTCTTTCACCTCCATTCAACAAAAGCTCATTTTCTATGCTTCACACTAGAATCTGCCCACAAAAAGATCTCTAGATTTTTATCACATTTTCTGAATAGAACTCTAGGAAACACGATTTACAATTTTCTTCCATTGTTATAATTGTATGGAAAATGACATAACTGAAGCTATAATTATACTATAAACATATCCCACCTTGAGGTGAGGCTGGGTAGTTTCTCTTTTTCATCAATCCATACAGCTGCTCTTTTGCCATATCCACACTTGAAAAAGCTACTTTTCTAGCCCGAGTCAGCATAGATAATTAAACGAGTTAAAAAGCAACATTTCCAAGCTCACCGCCCATACTAATACTTCTGATTAGCACTTTATTGCCTCTCTTACTGCTAAGCAAAAATGTAGAAGCCAGCATGTTTTTTAAAAAATATCTATGCCTGATAAAGCCTAATTTTTTGAAAGAGTGATATATTTTGCACTTTTGGTTGCCCTGATAAATGCATCTCCATTAGATATTGTTTATAGACATACTTAGGACTTAATCATATTGAGATTCCTTAAGCCAGGGGCATCAGTGGGGCAACAGGGCAAATTTGGTAGGCAACAGGGAAAAATAGTTGCTCTGAACCCAGCATTGCCTTCTTCCCCATCCCACAGAGGAAAACGTTGCTGCCCGGCTTCGCTCTGAGCTTTCTCTGGCTTACTGAATGAAAATACAGGAAGTATCCCTTGCTTTCAGGGCTCCATTCTAGGACATTTCCAGGATGAAGCCAGAACAGAGCATCCCTATGATTGATTCAGACGCTTGGTAAGTTAATACTCATGACAAAAAAAATCATACCTCTTAAAAACATGAAAGAGTAGCAGCTAGATTAGTGGTATATTACCATCCATTTATAACTTTTTAGAAAAAGTTATTCTCTCTTTTAAAAAGAAGTATAACTATTTTGCATTATTTTCAAGATTATTTATTACATTTTATTGTGGAATCTCCAAAGAAGGGCCTGCAAGATCCTAAATGCACATGCGAAAACTTGAATCCTTATTTCTTTACTCTTTTATTTAATTTATATCCTGCTTTTCTGATCACTAACTGTGACAATCCCCAAATCATAACACAGACTAAGTATTTTTTTTCTCCTCTTCTTGCCAGTTATTGTCTTTTACAGACAAAAAATACTCAACATCAACCATGTTGTTTGGACAAACTTCAGACACACTGAATGACTGACTAAATCCACGTGTATACCAAGTGAAAAATAACTTTTGATAACATACTGAAAATGTCAGCAAGTTATCAAAATAATACAGTATACGAGTAAGATTGATTTCACTGGCTACTTCAGAAAAAATGCACTGGGATTTTTTCTCTGCATCTACATGTATTTGATAGCCTGCCAAATGGGATCAGATGTGCATCAAAACATTCCTTGTGCCACACATGTTGAAATCTGAGATGCTATGAAAAGTCATGGAACAAGTGAAATTACTTAGGATGCCGCAGTATTTTCATCATCTACATACTGCCCATTAAATTACATCATAAAATGTTGATACAATTGGGAATAGATATAGCCAAAAATATAGCAATCAAAATACTAGGAATGGTCAATTAACATTAACTGGTAAATTATTTGTTGTTTGTTATATAATAGTCACTTATAACTTCTACAGAGTTGAAATTTTTCATAGGAATCAATTATAATAAAACAAGACCAAGATCTAATGGATTTCCCTCCAAAAGTGCATATTCGCATGACTGTATATCCCTGCAGTCAAGGAAAACACATGACTTTGTTCCTATATGCTTGTGTGGACTGTACCAGTGCCTGTGCGTGTTTTAAATTCTTGAAACAGCAGATGTGGGCTGTAAACAAATGGAGCTATGGACACACAAATGGCTAAATGGAAGCACAATTAGAAAGCAATTACAATGAGAACCCTCTGCTAACATTCCTTTGTTCTGATGTTTATGAAATTAATCAGAGCTTGAATTTACAGGAGGGTTAGGACAGAGAATAAGAAATCTGCTTGTGTGCCCGTTTAGATATCTGAATTAGTGCATATGAGGTCCAGCACATCTCGGAGAGTCAATTTTAAAAAAGGAAACTTCCATTGGATGACTTCCAACCATCTTGCAGATTTCTAAAGTCTGCTACAAAGGAAGGTGTCAGGACACTGGGGGAGCATTGACTAAGACTGACAGCTCCATGTTTGGACTTGTCAGCTACCACATTTTTTGCCCCACTTATTTGTCCCACATTTTGATGCTGTCTGGAAGCACCATTTGAAAGAAAGCTATTTCTTCAAGGCATTTAGTTTATCAATAATCCCTTAGTATTTTTCCATCTTTAAAAGACCCATCCAAAAAACAAACAAACAAATTACAAGCCAGTAAAAGTGTTTTACTAAGGCATGTGTTTTTTATTGCCTCTGGTTATTTTTCCCTGCTTTTGATGTGGATCATATTGTCATTTGCTAAATCCAAGCTTACTTTGGCTTGCAAACTTAATGCACTTAGCATTGTTTCCACCCCTGTGGTTACTACACTCAAGGAATTTCTAAATTAAATCAATGGGTGTAAAACACATAATACCAACAATAATAGTACAAGAAAATTTGTGTATGTTTGTGACATCCACAATTCAGTCACATCATACCACCAAATTTGCAAAACAAAACAAAAAGTATTTTTGATTGGCAACCAAGCCACAATACTTTCATTAAGTAAATATTTTTCTAAAGGGCTAAAAAACAAAACAGTATTCTTCCTAATATTTACAAAGCAGGAAAATAAATCAGGGTTAAGATTTCTGAAGTTAGAAAATAGGTAGATAACGCTAAAAGTTCTGCCAATGGGGGCTAATGACACCAAGGTCAGAGTGGTAGTGAATCTGCTCTGCATTTCAATCCAAATTTTAAGGGAGATCTTCTGTTGAAATTA